TCTATTAGAGTGTCAACTCTTGCCTCTGTTAGGGAGTGTCAACTCTTGCCTCTGTTAGAGAGTGTCAACTCTTGATTCTATTAGAGAGTGTCGACTCTTGCCTCTGTTAGAGTGTCAACTCTTGATTCTATTAGAGAGTGTCAACTCTTGCCTCTGTTAGGGAGTGTCAACTCTTGCCTCTGTTAGGGAGTGTCAACTCTTGCCTCTGTTAGGGAGTGTCAACTCTTGCCTCTGTTAGAGAGTGTCAACTCTTGATTCTATTAGAGAGTGTCAACTCTTGCCTCTGTTAGGGAGTGTCAACTCTTGCCTCTGTTAGGGAGTGTCAACTCTTGCCTCTGTTAGGGAGTGTCAGCTCTTGCCTCTGTTAGAGAGTGTCAACTCTTGATTCTATTAGAGAGTGTCAACTCTTGCCTCTGTTAGGGAGTGTCAACTCTTGCCTCTGTTAGGGAGTGTCAACTCTTGCCTCTGTTAGGGAGTGTCAGCTCTTGCCTCTGTTAGAGAGTGTCAACTCTTGCCTCTGTTAGAGAGTGTCAACTCTTGCCTCTGTTAGAGAGTGTCAACTCTTGCCTCTGTTAGAGAGTGTCAACTCTTGCCTCTGTTAGGGAGTGTCAGCTCTTGCCTGTGTCAAGGAAGGGCGGGCAAGGTGACGTATCCATATTCTCTCCTTCACAACTGAGATAGCTCTTATAGAATATATAAACTTAAAGAAAAACTCTCCCAATTAAACTAAAACCCTAAATCAGTACAGCCCAGAGGCTTCCTACCCATCGTTCCTCTCTCTGGACCAGGATTTATCAAGCTTTTGCTCATCCTCTTACGAAACCGGTACATCTTTGATCAGTCATGGAGAGTATCTTTGCATTTATTAAACAGTCTACGAGCTTTGAAACTGTACAATCCAAGCTTATTATAACGAGCCTCGTATCGTGCTTCGGCGATCATAAATTCTTTAATACAAGTCTCCAGAGCCTCCATGTTTGTTGAAAGATGAACCGGTTTCGTAAATGATTGCTTGTCATTTGAACTTGACCCTTCGATAAATACCACAAGTGGCAATATAGTAGTAGGCATCCTGCAGTCTTGGGAGACTAAGCAGTTGCGCTCTGGTGGCATAATAGGTCGATATGGAGGAGAAGCTGTTACCCATGCAGCAAGTCCATCCCCTCCACAAGTGGCTATATAGTCCTTCTCTTAGTAGAAACAGGAGGAGGAGCACTGGCGTAAATTCTTCATGGTCTCCCCCCTCCAAACACACACCGAAACTACGACGTTGGTACAACGTTCGAACAAGTTTTAACACCTCCTAACCAGTTATAACAACCAATATAGCAAGTTGTAACAACGTTCTAATACGTCATAAACACGTTAAGCCAAGATGTAACAACTTTATTACAAGTTGTAACAAGCGGAAAATAGAGACAGTTAAGGTTTGTGTTTCCAGGGCCGGAGGTTTATGATCAAAGAAGAGACAGACATGACTCTATATTTTTATTCGGTGGTGCAAACGTATAAAATATTCGTCCGTTGTTGCTACATAAAGGCATAGGAATCCCTATTAATAAATATCTTATGTACACAAGTTTGCATAAATATTTGAGCCACAACAGTGTACACCGACACACACACACACACACACACACACACACACACACACACACACACACACACACACACACACACACACACACACACACACACACACACACACACACACACACACACACACACACACACACACACACACACACACACACACACACACACACACACACACACACACACACACACACTCACACTCACAAGCGCTCGTACACACTCACACACTCACACACACACACAGGGGCACTCACAAGCACTCACACACATACACAGGGGCACACAGTCGTAAGCTCAGGGGCACTCACAAGCGCTCGTAAGTGCTCAGGGGCACTCACAAGCGCTCGTAAGTGCTCAGGGGCACTCACAAGCGCTCGTAAGTGCTCAGGGGCACTCACAAGCGCTCGTAAGTGCTCAGGGGCACTCACAAGCGCTCGTAAGTGCTCAGGGGCACTCACAAGCGCTCGTAAGTGCTCAGGGGCACTCACAACACTCACAACAGCTTGCTGGCACACTCAGAAGCCCACAATCACAAGTGCTCACAGACACAATAACTCACAAGCACTCTCAAGAGCTCACAGGCACTCACAAGAGCTCACAGACACACTAAAAGGCTCTTGCAAGAGCTTAACGTCACAAGAGCTCATAGACACAAGTGCTCACAGGCACTTACAAGAGCTCCTAAATACAAGTGCTCACAGACACAAGATTTCACAGGCGCTCACAAAGAGCTCTGGCACAAGTACTCACCGGCAAACACACGAGCTCACAGACAATTATATGAGCTCACAGGCGCTCACAGGAGCCTGTGAGCTCATAGGCACTCGAAGGTGCTCACAGGAACTCACAAGAGCTCACAAGTCCTCACAGACACTCATAAGAGCTCACAAATAACATTGTTCACAGGCATTCACAAGAACGTATATGCTCTCAAGAGTTGCCAAGAGAGCTTTTTAAGTTCTCATAAGTACTTACAATAGATTTATAAGTAATATACTCTCACAATTGCTCTCAAGAGCTCACTATAGGCTAAGGGGTCTTCTGTGAGACACTGGGTTGGTGTTCTGTCTGTGATGATGATATTATATGTCTATTCGTAACAGAGGGGGGGGGGGAATATAGAAAAAAAACAAAGAAATTGACAAAAAACGAAAGAAATGAGAAGGGGAGACTGAAAATAAGTGAAGAATGAGGTTAACAGAAAAAAAAACAGTGAACTCGATAGAAGAAAAAATATAATAAAAATGTAAAGAAAAAAATCAATATTAATATAAGAAAATATATATAAGAAAATATATATAAGAAAATATATGAAATAAATAATATATATCCCAAATGTACATAAGGTAAATTGAGTTGTAAAAGCACTCGTATTATTTGGGGGTAATCGTGTAATTAACCGAACAATTCGTCTAATCAAATTATTCGGTTAATCGACTTATTGGGTTGACCGAATTGATGGGTTAGTCGAATAATTGGGCTGATCGAATTATTGGGTCAATCGAATTATTCGGTTAGTCGAATAATTGGCTCAATCGAATTATTCGGTTAATCGAATAGAACCAAAGTTTGTTTTGGTCAAAATGGAGAATGGACATAATTGCACCTAGATAGACATACCCATGTCTTTTGTAATCTAGAGGGAACTGTGGGATACATTGATTCTTGCTGCGAGGTTTGCCACACCTGACTCACCCTTATGTAGTCGGGTGCAAGGCTGAGAGTCGAGTGAAGATTAGAAAGATTATGTAGGTGTTTTTGGGGGGGGGGGCTGGTTGAGGGGAGAGAGAGGGAGGGAGGGAGAGAGGGAGAGAGAAAGAAAGAGAGAGAGAGAGAGAGAGAGAGAGAGAGAGAGCTTGGTCTCCCGTTTTCTCAACATTCTTTTTCATATGACGCTTTGAATATTCTGAAATACGTGTGTGTGTGTGTGTGTGTGTGTGTGTGTGTGTGTGTGTGTGTGTGTGTGTGTGTGTGTGTGTGTGTGTGTGTGTGTGTGTGTAAACAACCCATGGAAGCGACCAAGGAGGTGTTGGGAGCATAGTTTGTGAGGAGCCATAACACGAAGGGGGGGGGGGGGGTTAATCACCTCCCCACGAATGGTTGTTACAGCTGGAACAAGCATTAACCAGCCAGTGTGCTTGTTCCTTCGTTGTCTTCACTGAGCGACGCTTGTCGAGAGACGCACTCTCTCTCTCTCTCTCACTCTCTCTAACACACAATATATTAACTCTATACTGTCTAGTTAAAACTCTACTTTTTTGCTACAATAACATCAACAACAACAAAAAAATTCTGTGATACATTAAAAATACACACAATACAAAAACAAAAGTTATAATATTTTATATCATACAATACTCTGCTTTTTCCATGAAAGCAAATTTTAAGTTTTTCGAAATGTCTGTACATATCTTGGCTTCTCTGCGAGTTATTGATTAATACTTTTTAAGTTTAATATCTTCAGCACATTGGGTACACAGCATTACAATTAAGTACAATATATATGTTTCTCTCTCCATCGAGTGACGGCGACAGTTACTTGAGTAACAACGCCGTCACTCTGACAGTTTCCGTCAAAGACGGTACGCTAGATGACAGCAGCCAGAGAGCAAATTGACAGCCATGAAGTACTCCAGCTAGTTGGGGGGTGGGGGGTGTCAAGCAAGTGACCTCGTTGACCCGACCATCAGGGAAGAGGTCAACCTTGCGACCTCCGTCGCAGCCGGAGACTTGACCAGCAACGCCTCCAGACTGTTGCAACCTCAAGTTGTGAGGTTACAACTTAATCTCCAACTCCTCTAAACCAATCAAGACGCAGGAATTCCTCAGAGAGATGTGATATAACTCCCGTTTTTCGGCAATGCGTGACCTCAAGTCTGCGTTTAAGGTGATTTCAGGTCAGAGGACCTGAAATGGACCTATTAATAACCATTAATAGGGAAGAGACTGGCTCTGACGGATATATCTTTGGTTTTTAATCTTGAGTATATCACATCCCTCCGATCCCTGCGTCTTGAAAAGTATGCTAGAGCGGCAGCTGGGGAGTCTATATACCTCTGCTGCTTTCTCTGCTGCTTAAGTACTATTCTTAGAATCCCATGTCACAATTACTTAGGCTGAATTGTTTTCAACTGTGATTGTATATGGTCAATTGTGACTGACTAGAGTGAGAGTTTTTCAGGTGAGACCATGAATACTGGGCAAGCGCGAAGTTCATCCAGTGAACTGGTAACTATTTCTAGGAATACCCGGCATGATATTATCTCTCTCTATATACATATATATATATATATCTATCTAAATGTATTTATATACAGGATATGTCTGTGACTTATAATAACAGGAACTATACATAGGAGCCTGTTTTTGAGTCCTATACACGAGTCCTGTGAGCTCTAATGTACAACAGGGCAAGTATTTAATTTATATTATTTTTTTATTTTATATATTTTTTTATAGTTTTTTTTTTTTTAGTTCATAGAATACGTGCGTTTTGAAAGACAATAATAGTTGGGTTAGCTTTATATACAGGTGGTTCAGGAATTTATCCAGGCGTTCATTATTTCAAAGTCCGCCAGGACGTTGGGAGTGGTGGAAGAGATGCCCACGTTGGCCCAGTTGCTGCCCACTGAGCCCCCCGACTCGTACCCGAGGTCAGCTAAAGACTCCAGCTCCACCTTCAGGTCAGAGGTCATGGGGATGAGTTCGGTGACCCCGATGTTGTCGAGGTCATCCAGGGTAGCAGGGTGAGTCTCTTGGGCCTCCACTTTGACCGAAGGCTGCTGCTGTTGCTGCTGCTGTTGCTGCTGCTGCTGCTGCTGCTGCTGCTGCTGCAACAGTTGGTGTTGCTGCTGTTGCTGATGGTGATGGTGGTGGTGGTGATGGTGCTGTTGCGTCGCAGCTGCTGAACCAAAGAACGAGGAATGAGTGCTGACTGGGGAATAAAGACAAGAATGCTGTTGGTAGTTTGGCTTTTGCTGTTGCTGCTGGTAGTTTGACTTTTGTTGCTGCTGTTGGTAATTTGACTTTTGCAGCTGCTGCTGTTGTTGGTGTTGCACACGTAAGTGTTCCTGATAGTCGTGTTCCCGTTTCAAGTAGCCAATATTGCTGAGGGCGTCCTGCTTCAGGTAACTGTGCACCATCTTTTGCTCCTGATAAAAGTTTGACTGATACGCTTGTCTTTGCGGGACACTGTATGCACAACTACTGGTTCGGGAGCCGTTAGGCGGTGAAGCAGCGGGAACTGCGTTGTGGTAGGAGAAGGAGGTGCTGGTGTTTGTCGTAGATCGAGGATGGCCGTCGGCGGCCGAAGTGTAACTGGTGGGCGTAGGCGTGTAGTTAACCATGGGTGTTCGGATAAACGAGTGGTCGTCGAAGTTGAAGGCGCTTTCTGGAGAGTCTGGAAGATCGGAGGTGGCCGGGCTGGTCGGGACTCGAGGCGGTGAGGTGGGTGTTAGCGGTAGCGGCCAGCTCACGTGGTCCTCGAGGGTGTGAAGGTCGAGCTGGGGCTTGCTAGCGGCACCTTCCTTCGACTTGATGCTGTTGGCGAACTCCTTGCATATGTTGTTCATCTGGTGAACCTTCGAAACCTTCCCGCCGGAGCGTTCGGAGACTCCCTTAAGCGGGTCTTTCGACTTCTTGCGCGGCCGGTATTTATAGTCCGGGTATTCGCGCATGTGCAGCTGCTTCAGTCGCTCAGCCTCGTCGCGGTAGGGTCGCCGCTGCTCCTCCGTCAGAAGCTTCCAACGGCGTCCCAGCTGCTTGGAGATCTCGGCGTTGTGGGTGTCGGGCGCGAACTTGACGATCTCCCGCCGCTCCATCTGTGACCAGACCATGAAGGCGTTCATGGGTCTCTTGATGTGGTTGGGTGGGTGCTTCTTGGTCTGTGGGGGGCAAGAAAATATATCATTACCAAATGTGAAAATCAAACTCCAAATATACATTGTAATTTTAAGATATTTTACCCAACTAAAAGTACAAATAATGAAAAGTGATTTAGCCAATTGTTTTTGATAAATCTAAAGTTAACCAAAGATTGTTAGGTCATAGTTATCAAAATGATTTTGAGAATAGAATAAAATAGCCCCGAATCGTGAAATAAAATTATCCACTAATATAATATCGAAAGAAATATTATCACATTTTATTAAATGTAAATTAATTACATTTTTTATTGCATTTAATTTTTACATTTATTAAATATTTTACTGTTAATTATAAAATTTTGTACCATTATCGGTAAAAAAATATATTTTTTTTAGTATGATATATACAATGTGAAATGTCAGAAAGTATGGTAATTATGATGAGAAACCACAAAGCAGTATGACTGACTATATATAACACAGAATATGAAGACAAGGAGCTGGGGTAGGAAGGAATGGTGCCCAATTGCCTGGACCATCGGTGATCGAACTCCGACCTGCAAGAAGCGAAACCGTCGCTGTACCGACCAGTTTAACCTTCACAATAATCAAGCAGATATCATACACTGGTAGGATGTATATACATTCGTAATATTACATACAAATTATACAATTCCAGATACTTCCGCCTAATGGGTTGGGGTGGGATGGGGTTGCCTAATATTAGGTGCTTGTAGAGCAGATGTTGGTTGCAAAGATATTGGTAGTGTAGGTGTTGATAGAACACGTGTTGGTAGTGTAAGTGTTAGTAGAACAGGTGTTAGTAGTTCAAGAGTCTGGGTAGTGCAGGTATTGGTACTGTAAGTGTTGGTAGAGCAAGTGTCGGTTGTACAGGTGTTAGTTGAGCAGGTATCGGCAGTACAGGTGTTGGCAGAGCAGGTGTTTTGGTAGTACAGATGGTCAGGAAGCGCAGGGCCAGCGGGCACCCCCCTCCCCAGCACTATACTGCCAGTAACGCCCAACAGATGGCGCTCACCATCAGGTAACTCGTACGCCCATGACAGAAGCGTTGCCACAACCAGCCCATAGAGGGGGTTAGCGTCGACGACAGGAAGGCTTAACTGCTACAACCAGACAGGGGGTTTAACAACCGCCACAATTAAACAACAGGAGGTTTAACAACCGCCACAACGGGACGACAACTGCTACAAATGAGACAACATTTGTGGGGTAGGACGGTTTAACGGTAGGTATAGGTTTTTAACAACCTATAACATCCATTTTTAATCCCCGCTAACAGCAGCCGGTAGCGCTAAGGTTAGCGTCTGGGCGTGTTCTCGTAGCGAACCAACTTGCTAATAAACGGAATACTATTCATTTTTTTTCCTCCTCGCCGAATATTTTCCATCGTCGGTTTAGTGCTCCTGTTCTTAGTACTTGGAGTGGGACAAAGTTAAAAAAAAAACAAGAAAGAGAGAGACTTTTCCCACCTCAAAAATCTGACAAAACTATACCAAATGTTTGGGTACAAAAAACATGCATTGAAAAAATACGTTGTAAATAGTTGAGCCAAACTGGCGACCACCTGGCTACCGTTATGTTAAATTTACGGGCTAATAGGCTAGGAGGGGCACCCAATTAATACCTCCCCCCTATCATATAATTAATACCCCATGATACATCAGCGTATAATACCCTGACCTGTATTAACCTAAGGGAGTACCCGAATTCAAGTACGTTTATTGAGACAATAAGATACATCTTAAAAGAATAGAGTAGCTTAGGCTATTTCTACCCTCCTTAAATAGGGGGAGGGGTTACGGCGAACAATGTGGGGGGGGGGGGGTGTTTGTGGGGGAACCTCCCCCTTCACCCCCCCCACCCCCCTCCCCTACAACATTCCCAGACCTGACACTGCAAACTCAGTCGCATCGATGGGATATTTGAAGCACCTTGTTGGATGCTCAGTCGTAAGAGCTCCTGAAGGTGGTGAGGAACCTGTGTGTTTATGGTTCTCGACGTATACTGCAGGTCTGGCGGATGTGTACCATTGCAAGATGCATGTTGAGGTATGTCTATGTTGAGGCCTAGAGTGTACTTACTGGTTGTTTGGTAAGCAATTGTGGTGGCCTTAATAACCCTTCAGAGGTTGATAGGCCTCAAGCACAGCACCAAACTACCATGTATATATATATATATATATATATATATATATATATATATATATATATATATATATATATATATATATATATATATAATATAACCGGCTAGCTACCCGTGGCAGATGGGCCCTTGTTGTTCTGTGTTATTTCAGAGTTTAGGCCTTTTTTTTTATTATTCTTTTTCTTCTTCCACTTTGCCGAGGTCGTGTTTTCATGTTATTTATTTGTTTAGTCTTTATTTACCCTACAGCTAGAGTAATGAGGGGGTTAATTAATCACATGATTACAACTATAACATAGCGTGAACAAATGAAGCATATCCATACAGAACCACAGAACACAATTATTATTTTATTTCACCAAGAAAGGATCTTGTTGTTCATGATCTTGTTCACCAAGATCAAGACCTTGCTGTTGCGGAAATTGAGTAATGATGGTTTCGATCGTCTAGAGTCGGTTACCAGGAGCTAGGCTACATGGGTGTCTTATATTTGCACATCGGGTTATAACTGTTTTCTAAAAAGAGGGTCACTCATCTCATAATTATTATTAATAATAATATGCACTATTACATTTATTGTCAATTGTGGTATTCGTAGTACGAGACAACAAATAATTTGCGACCGACTGGCTTAAATTTTGGAATTTATATTAAAAGTTAAAAGAATGACTTGATATTATTAAGTCTCGTTATTAAATTAAAATATATTCTCTCTGTCTCTGTCTCTCTCTGTCTCTCTCTCTCTCTCTCTCTCCTCTCTCTCTCTCTTATCTCTCTCTCTCTCTCTCTCTCTCTCATCTCTCTGTCTCTCTCTCTCTCTCTCACTCGCGCTTAAGGGTAACTTGTATATCACCCTTTACAACTATTTAAACCTTTCTGCGAAGCACCAAGATATCTTCTTCTTTTTTCCTTTGTTAGTGTACATAGTATCAGGTCAGCGGAGGAGACCATCTGGAGCCAAGGACATTCTTAAGGTTGGCGTAAGTTCGGATCTTTAGCGTGAAGTTGCCAACAGGTTAGCGAAAGCTTATTGTTGAGTTGATGGATTAGTTGGTGGGAAGTTTCAAGTGAATTTGGCGGGAAGTTAACGCGGGAGTTTTGCGGAAGTAGAGGGTGAAGATGGTGAACAAATTGGGCGTAGTTAGCTAGCCATGTCGGAAATTTAGCGGGAATTATTTGTAAAGAAGGCAGGCAGCTGATTGGAATTAGACGGAAATATGGCAAGCTGTTTGAATGGTTAGTTTGCAGAAAGATGAGGAGCAACCAGTGGGAAGTTAGCCAGAATTTGGGGGTGGAAGTTGGCGGTGAAGTGACGGTGTTCGCCTAGCCTAGCCTAAAGGTACTCCGGCTATTTCTGAGCAACTCTTTATTTTCTTGAGGTTTCGTTTTAATTTTCTTGACTTTCATGTTACATATTTGTTATCTTTATTTATTATATGTTTTGCACATCTTCCAACCTTTCATATAAAAATGATAGTACCTATAGTGATCGTCAGTGGAATGTAGATAAACAGATTGTTGAACAAAAATACAAAAAATGTCCGTTTTGTACTATTAATTTTGAAAAGAGAAAGAAAGCAAGAAAGAAATTAACTTTTCCTAAGCGTAATATACGGTCATATACTAAATTAAACCAAAGATTGAGTAAAGCAAAAAGTTATAGAACTGAAGCCTACTAATATATATATATGCGGAAAATCCACAGAGAAATATGAAATGAGGTGAACGTTTCGGCTTGTTAAAGCCTTTGTCAACACCAGACTGACTAAACTTAGTCAGTCTGGTGTTGACAAAGGCTTTAACAAGCCGAAACGTTCACCTCATTTCATATTCTCTGTGGATTTTCCGCATAAAATGATCAATGTTTTGTGATCGTTATATATATAATATATATATATATCTATATATATATATATATATATATATATATATATATATATATTATATATATATATATTTTTTTTTTTTTTTCTAATTATGCAGTATTAATAATATAGTGTGTCTGAGTCCTTAATAATTATTGGCTGATCGTAAAATATATTCTTTAAACAGACATTCGCTATGAGAAAGCTGTTGACGTACGACTGTTCACATCAGAGGAAATAAGAACGGTAACTCCTCCTCTTGACTAGTACGTCGCATTTTGACGTATATATCACAGCGGCCTGCAAAATTGACGTTATGACCCGTTTTCTATTTGTGGGTCCTCGGGTAGGTTAGGATCGGGCAATTGAACACATCAGTTTAGTGTGACGTTTTGAACGCTCGAGAGGACGGGCTGAATAGGCCTATAGACCTATTGTAGTTCCCATGCTGCATCACGTTGGTGTATCTTGTCAGGGAGACTCGCATCACACGCGCGCGCGCACGCTCGTTAAACTACTCTGTTAGAAGAGTAAGCTGTTACACGTGCACACACGTGTACACACGTGCACATGGACACGTGTGCACGTGCACATCAACACGTGTTAAACACACACACACACACACACACACACACACACACACACACACACCACACACACACACACACACACACACACACACACACACACACGTGCTAGGGTTAAAGACATATAACGAGCTAGTAATTCAAATGATCGAGGTAGACTCCACATAGCCCTATGTAGATATATGTAGATGTAGGTATATGTAGATATAATATGTAGATTGCGAAGTAGAGAGGTGGGACCCAAGATCTGAACCTCAACCCCTTTTAAGCACATCTAGATGGATGAATACAACCCCCCCCCCTTCCCCTTTCAATAATCTGCAATGTTTCACTGGAAATGGGAGAACTACCAGAGAGCTAGAAGACTGTTAATACCATATATATTTTCCCCATATACAAA